TGAGGTCAGGTAGGCACAAGACCTAACATAGTACACAAACGCTGATGATCACAAGGCTGAAGTGCCTTGGTAAAGATATCAGCAGTGTTTGCCCGAGTGGCCACGTAAGCAAGACGAAGGTGTCCACGCTACTGCAACTCTTGAGCAAGGAAGTAGCGCAGAGCAATGTGCTTCGATCTGTGCTCCAGTCTGTGCTCCTGACACAAGGCCAGCATGGCCTTGTTGTCGACGTACAGAACTGGAGGAGAACTAGGCGCCTCTTCCAAGTCAGTCAGCAGGTAGGTGAGCCAGCGTAACTCCTGTGCAGCCATGGCCCCTTCGTAGATCTCAGCCTCACAACTGGAGCTGAGAAAAGAAGACGAGCGGGTAGACCGCCACGAAACAGAGCCGGAACTAAGGCTGAAGGTGTAACCCTGTGACGACCGCTGCGTAGCCAAGTCGTCAACCCAAGAAGCGTCTGCGTGACCAGTGAGGACAACTCGAGCCCGTCCTCCAAGCACGAGCCCCATGCCCGACGTACTGCACAGGTAGCGCAACACCCTCTTAGCTCTATCCATGTGCTCTGGTCGGTGTCTCCTAGGAGCAACATAGCGTGTCAAGATGCTAAGAGGGTATGCCAGGTCAGGTCGAGTGCAGGTCATTAGGAACATGAGGCAGCCAACAAGCTCTGGCTACAGGCCACTCGGCTCTACGGACTCATCCGAAGGCAGAGCTGAGAGCGAGTGGCGAGTAGACAGAGGAGTGGCCTTAGGCGAGGAGTACGTGAAGTTGAAGCGCTGAAGGATCTGCTGCACCATGTGTGACTGAGTCAAGGTAATGGTGCGCCGTGCTCTGTCCCGGGTGATCTGCAAGCCAAGATTGCTGCGCAGTTCACCCAGGTCTGTGCATTTGTGTCTCTTCTGCAGCTCAAACTTCACGTGGGCGAGTCCAGCTGTGTCAGCAGTAGCAAAGACCAAGTTGTCGACGTACACGAGGATGTACAACGGCGGCAGAGTAGTGTCGGTGTGCAGAAACAGCGACGGGTCAGCACTAGAAGGAGCAAACCCAAGAGCCGCAAGCGTAGTCATCAGTGTGTCGTGCCACTCGCGGGGCACCTTGCGGAGACCGTAGACTGGCCGCCGGAGAGTGAAGCCAGGTGGGTGGCGCAGCTAGATCTCTTAGTGCAGGCTGCCCTGTAGGAAAGAGTGGTCATCTTCGGGGTCGGGGAGAAGGTCTGGAAGAAGTCAACTCCCTGTCGCTGACTGAAGCCTCGAGCAACGTAACGCGCCTTGAAGACAGGCGGAGAACTTGGCGGTGGCTTCACCCTGAAAATCCACATGCCACTGACGATGTTGGCCCCAGGAGGGGGAACCTCCTCGATGTAAGTGCCTGAGTACTTCCAGGATGCCATCTCTGCGTCCATGGCTGACTTCCACTGGGAGGAGTAGGGACCCTCTATCGCCTCTGCGTAAGAGCGCGGGGTCGGGATGTCTGGTTTATCCGGGTCTCCCTCAGGTGCAATCAGCATGGACACGAGATGAGGTACAGCGGTTGCAAACAATCAAAGTCCTCCTGCCTATCCTCAAGGACGTCCGTGCCAAGAGCACACGCAACCCTGACGGACGGAGGACAGACAGACTCAGACTCAGCAACAAGACTCGCGGCGAAGTCTAGACAACAGTGAGCAGCAAAGTCGACAAGCTCAGCAACTAAGGCAGACGCAGAAGTGGACTCAAAGGAAGGGTCAATGACAACAGTGGCCAGGAGACGCGTGACAGTAGGACTAGCAGCACGAAGGGAGTCAGACTCCGGGTCAGGAAGGGCAGGAAGAGAGGATGCAGGAGGACACGGTAGAGGGACACGTTGCGGAGTAGTGGACGGACGCAGAGTCTTCTGGTACGTGCCAGGGACAGCAGGAGGACGCTGACGCGAACCACGACGACTAGTGCTAGCAGCACGAAAAGGCGACGCAGGACGAGACTCAAGTTCATGACGCTCCGTAAGACCTCCGGTCGGACCAGTGTAAGGAGAAGGAGTAGGCAGTGGGGAGGCGGGTTGTAACTCTGACTGCGACTGGACAGGCGGTGGACACTCTAAGGAAGAAGCAGGACCAGTAGAAGGCGGGAGACCAAGAACCTACTGAAGGAGCGGAACAAAGTACGGCCGCGTCCGCGCAGCGCCTCTAGAACCAGCAGGGATAGCACCAGCACCCCCAGCGCCAGCTCCAACTCCAACAGCACCACCAGCTCTAGCAGCACCTCCAGCAGCTCCAGTAGCGCCAACTCCAGCACCCCCAGGAGCACAGGCTCCAGCAGCACCTCCAACGCCAGCACCTTCAGCAGCTCCAGCTCTAGCAGGACCGCTAGAAGGCCCAGCAGCTCCAGTAGCGCCAGCTCCAGTGCCTCCAGCAGCGCCTTCTCCAGCAACACCGCCAGCTCCAACACCTTCAGCAGCTCTAGCCCCAGCAGCACCACCTGGCCCAGCAGCTCTAGTACCTCCAGTACGAGCACCTCCGGGACCAGTGGCTCCAGAACCCCCAGCAGCTCCAGCAGCATCAGGACCTCCAGCGCCCGTAGCACCACCAGCTCCATCAGCACGGCTCCAGCACCGAGCAAACCACTCGCGCAGCTGCTGTGGAGAGAGAGGCTCTCGTCGGGAGGAAGCACCCAAGGAACCTCCAGGCTCAGCACCTCAAGACTCCACACGAGCAGGCTCAGCACCCTCGGGCTCCGCACCCCCAGACTCAACAACCCCAGGCTCAGCACCCCTAGACTCAGCACCCCCAGACTCAGCACCGCCAGACTCAGCACCCCCAGACCCAGCACCCCCAGGCTCCACAAGCTCAGGCTCAGCACCCCTAGACCCGGCACCCGCAGGCTCAGCACCCCTAGCAGCGCTAGAGTCAACAGCTACCTCGACCGGCTCGACTGCGTCTACCTAGGACACACCTGAGGGGGCAAGACCCTGAGGGGGGAGGGGGTCTATCTGAGGGGGACCTGGTGCGAGGAAGAGCGGCGGGGGGGGGGAGGGGGCCAGTGTGGTAGGGGAAGAGACGGTAGTAAGGAACCGACTCGTCAAACGTGACGTCCTGAGAGGACAGAACACGGCGCGAGGTGGGGTGGTAAAACTGCCAACCAGACGCGTCAGGGGGGAAGCCAAGGAAGACGGAGGAAACAGCACGGGAGGACAGGTCACTGACGAAAGCTCGAGATCCCCAGACACAGAGCGAAGACGCATCGCTAACCTTCCCCGTCCACCGCAGAGTAGGTGTGGTCTCCGGCATGGAGACCCGGGGCTTGAGGTTGAGCTGATGCACAGCGTACTGAACCGCGAATGGCCACAGAAAATGGAGAGCAGCCGCATGGATCATGGACGTATGAGCGACGTCCATGACCATGCCAATGCGGCGCTCACCAATCCCATTTTGCTGCGGAGAGGCCGTAAGCGTGAACGTCTGGCGGATGCCCTCCGCACGACAGAAGGCTCGCAGAAGGTCGGAGGAAAACTCTCCACCTCTGTCGGAGTGGAGATGCAGAACAGGAAGTTCCGAGCCAAAACTCTCGCTGAGCTGACGACGAGCAGCGCGGATCCAGTCGATCAGCACCTCAGTGACCTCACCCTTGCAGCGCAAGGGAAAGACTGTGGTGTAATGCGAGTAGTCGTCAACGATCAGCAGAAAGTAGCGCTCGTGACCCTGTCCACGGACACGGGCGGGGCCCCACACGTCCATGTGAAGAGTCTGCAGGGGAGCCTCCATCGGAGGGAACTCGGAGGAGTGAGGAGCGGCGCGCTGCCGCCCCTCGACGTAGGGAACGCAGGTAGGGGCAGGCCCCTGGGGAAGGGGAGGGAGAGACCGGGGAAGACCAGTGACAAGGACACGAGAGGCCATGCCTTGGAGACAAGGCAGGGAGGGGTGACCAAGGCGGTGGTGCGAGAGGAGAGTCTGGTGAGACAGGAGGCGACACGAGCAGGGGGCAGACTCAGCACCAGACCGAGACGCTGCAGCAAACACCTGACCAGACGCGGCTACTGACCAGACTCAGCGACCGGAGGAGACACGGTAGTCAGGGTGTACAGGCTCAACCCAGGCTGACGGGTGAATGTGGCCAGGTGCCGACCCGTCCGAGTACACGAACAGTGGATCACCCGCTGACCTCCAGGAGTGAACTGGTCAACCCACGCTTCTTGAAGGTCAGCTCCACTCACCAAGTTCGTGGAGAACAAGGGGAGGTGGAGGCCAGACAGAGAGCCAGACGGGACCGCCGGACACGGCAGAACCGTGGAGGAGTATGCAAGGACCGGACCCCCAGAGGGGTCAGCCAGAGAGACTGCCACCGTCCGACTGAGCGGCGAGAGTGTGGTGCAGTCGCGAAAGAAGGAACGGGAAGCACCCGAATCAAGGGTGAAAGTGTGCAAGGCCGTAGCTGGCGCAGTACCAGAGAGGGCAGACTCACCAGCACCTGGAGCAGTGGACTCACTAGCGCCTAGAGCAGCAGCCTCACCGGCACCTGGAGTAGGAGACGGACCAGCACCTGTTACGATAGTGTCTTAACTGGTAACCGGGTTTAAGGAGGGCCTATGCTTAGATGCCTAGGCCAAGCGGGTGTGGAATGAGTTGTGCCATTGAGAATTGAGAATGGGTGAAGGTTCACTATAGCACACGAGTACATATAGCAACCTAACAAAGGTGAAACAGGTGCAACACCATACAAGGGAGTTACACAACAGCTTCACTACAGGCAGATTATACTAAATTGATATAGATCTATTGTGACACACCCCTTATCTGCCTGAAGTGCATAACCATGTGCAGAGCCCCCCTTGAAGGGGTACAGCTGTAAAACCCCATTATCGGGCGTGGGAACACCAGCAAGGGGCCCCCTCTGAAGCTGACAAGCAGCAACCACCAAGCAGCATCTGAACCACCACGGTGGAACATGTTCTCGGCTGCGGTTGAACGCTCCGCAGTTGGTGCACGGTGTGCGAGGAGCACGGGTACGGGTAGCGGGTTCGGGTAGCAACTAGGTGCTGTACGGGACGGGCCGCACGGGGGTGACGGGCAGCACAAGACCGGGCAGCACAGACCGGGTGGGGCACGAGCGAGAAATGACAGCACGGGTGGGGCACCAACGGGTACAGACAGCAAGGGTAGGACACAAACGGGCAGAACGGGGCAGGACACGGGCTGAACGAGGCAACACGGGCAGAACGGGGCAGGACACGGCCTGAACGGGGCAGGACACGGGCTGAACGGGGCAACACGGGCAGAACGGGGCAACACGGGCAGAACGGGGCAACACGGGCAGAACGGGGCAACACGGGGACAACGGGGCAGCACATGCAGAACGAGGCAGCACAAGGGCTGAACGGGGCAGCACACAGGCAGAACGGGGCAGCACATGAGCTGCCAACCCCGCTACTCCCCCTCCCCCGGCCGTCCCCTTCGGGCCAACACCGCACCTCCTCCCCTTCCAGCTGGAAACGGAGCCGGAGATGGGGGTGGGGTGGCAGTTGTCGGTGGGGGGGGGGGGGGGGGGATTTGGGGTAGAACGGCGGTCTGGGTGCAGGTACGAGGTGCGGACGGGTCTCGCAGACGGGGGCACGGACGTCGTGCATGGTGCTGATGGTGTACGGGCGACGGGCGGGGTGCGGGGTGCGGGTGGCGCACGGGCGGCGGGCAGGGTGCAGGGTGCGGGTGGCATACGGGCGACGGGCGGGGTGCGGGTCGCGGACGATCTGGTGCGTGCAATGGCGTAGCAACAGCTTCTCCCGCCATTCCCACCACTCTCGCAACTCCCGCCACTCCCTTTACAGCAATTGCGAAGTCGACGGAAGGGCGGGCGGGGACCTGGCGTCGGGCAGCGGAGTGCGTACAGGTTTTCGCGAACGCGCTACAAGCGGGGAGCGTTGTTGGCGCTGTCACTGGCGGTCTCGGGTGTCGCTGGCGTTGGCGCTGGTAGGCGCAGCTGGCGGTCCCGCAACGCCCTTCCCCCGTACCTCTCCGCCCCCACAGCGGCTGTCGCTGCACACGGGAACAGCCCCGACAGGGGGTGACGAGAAGGGGCCGCGCCAGTGAGCCGCGACGAAGCGACCCGACGGGCTGGGCGATGGGCGGAGCGACAGGGGGCAGCGCGACGGGTGCAGCGTAAGCAGCAGAAATTGCGCCAGCAGCGGATTTCGCGCCAGCAGCTCCACGTTCCACGCTACTAGCAGTAGCAAACGCGCCAGCAGCATGATAGGTCACCATGGCAGATGGCAAAATTGGTGGGCCCATGGAAATCATTTTGGTCCTTAAGAAAGAACCGCTTTGATACCATGTTATGATAGTGTCTTAACTGGTAACCGGGTTTAAGGAGGGCCTAGGCTTAGAAGCCTAGGCCAAGCGGGTGTCAAATGAGTTGTGCCAAGTGAGAATTGAGAATGGGTGAAGGTTCACTATAGCACACGAGTACATATAGCAACCTAACAAATGTGAAAGAGGTGCACCACCATACAAGGGAATTACACAACAGCTACACTACAGGCAGATTAAACTAAATATATATAAATCTATTCTGACAGCACCTAGAGCAGCAGCCTCACCAGCACCTAGAGTAGCAGACTCTATACATGTACGCCTGGCGTCGCTCAGATAGGAGAAGCAGCGGGACTCTGTGTGACCAACCGTCCCGCAAGGCTGACCAGCCCGAGCACCTGTGCGAATGACGTACGGGCAGCGAGCAGTACTCTGTGACCCTCTACTCTAGGCGTAACACTCATGAAGCTGCTGGGGCGTAAGAGTCTCGCGCGGACGCCACTGCAGCTGCATCTGGCCACCGCCAGACGCTCCCGACTGACCAGCTCCAGGGCGACAGCCACGACGGCCACCGCCACAACCCCAACTAGCGTACCACTCACGAAGCTGCTGGGGCGTGAGAGACTCGTGCTGACGCCACTGCAGCTGCATCTGGCCACCGCCAGATGCTTCAGTTCCAGCTCCAGGGCGACAGCCACGACGGCCACCACCACAACCCCAACTAGCGTACCACTCACGAAGCTGCTGGGGCGTGAGAGACTCGCGTGGACGTCGCTGGAGCTGCATCTGGCCACCGCCAGTAGCAGCAGTAGCAGTCATAGCAGCAGTAGCAGCAGTAGCAGCAGTAGCAGCGCGGGCAGGGCAGCGCGGCTCAGGAGAGTAGGGATGCACAGCCTGACAGCACGACGCGGCTCGGCTGGGCGGCTCGGCTGGGCGGCTCGGCTCGACTGGCAGGCAGGCGCAACAGGCAGGCAGGCGCAACAGGCAGGCAGGCAGGCTAGCGCGGCATTGCGCTAGTGAGGCAGGCGTGCGGGAAGCGTGGGTAGGGCAGGTGCTCACCAGGGGCAGGAAGGGCAGGCGCTCACCGGGCGAGCAGGGCCGGCGCTCGGTGGGCGGCGGCAGGGCAGGCGCACGACGGCGGCCCGCGACAGCGGCTGCAGGGCGGGGCTGCAACGGCGGTAGGGGGCTCCGCGGCAGCTGCTGCAGGGCGGGGCCGCGACTGCTGCAGGGGGCTCCGCGGCAGCTGCTGCAGGGCGGGGCCGCGACGGCGGCAGGGGGGCTCCGCGGCAGCTGCTGCAGGGCGGGGCCGCGACTGCGGCAGGGGGCTCCGCGACGAGCAAGGACGGTGCCCAGGGTGCGCCGCGACGAGCAGGGACGGCGCCCAGGGGGCGCCGCGACAAGCATGGGCGACGCCCCGGGGGCGCCGTGACGAGTAGGGGCGGCGTCTAGGGGGCGCCGCTACGAGCAGGGACGGCGCCCAGGGGGCGCCGCGACAAGCAGGGGAGACGCCGCGCGGGTCCCGCAGAGGCGTCGCGACGAGCAGGAGCGACGCGCGGCTCGGCAAGGCGGCGCGCGGGTCGCAGGGGCAGTGCCCACGTGCTGCAGGGGCGACGCGCGGCTCAGCAGGGCGGCGCGCTGGCTGCAAAGGCAGCGCCCACTGGCTGTAGGGGCGACACGCCGCTCGGCAGGGCGGCGTGCAGGCTGCAGAGGCAGCGTAAAAAAAAAAATCAGTTAGGGCAGGGCGTAACGTTCGGTGGGCCCCTAGGAACGATTCTGCTCTAATACCATGTCACAAGGTAGGAAACAAGAATGACTAGAAACAGGACAGTACAAGGTTTGTATAGGCAAAACCTAACAATACTGCACCCCATAAGGAGTGCCCCACTACATCCTACAATATAGTTCTGACGATTTTATAGCGCTAGGAATCAGAATTGCGCGCTAGCGATTTTTTTCCAACACACAGGGGCAAAGACACGTCAGTTTGCCCCTGTGCCAGCACATCTTGACTTGACGCGCAGCTTCTGAGGTCTTCGAGAGTCAAACGAAGCGATTATGAAATTAGGCTCGCTTCAAATTTGAAACTCGTTGACGTGTTTAGGAGGTTTTAAATTTAAAATTATGCATGCGCTTATAATAAACAGGGTTTTACAGGGGGTGCGCTTATAATTGAGGATTGGCCATAAGCGCATTGCTCCAGATATAAGCGCATGCGCTCTTAATAGGCCTGCGCTTATATCCGGGGCGATACGGTACCACTGATTTGTACCGTATACGGTACCGATTCGTTCACATGGGTACTATGCACGACCGGAAGGTTGGGCACACAAGACCCAGAGTGCAAGTGGAATATTGAAACAAGAGCAGTTTCACTTGCATTGTTGGGGCTCTGCTGTCACAAGATTGAACCAGCTTGTGTATTCTGCAATTATTGTGCAAGGAGCTACCAAGAGCAAGTGAGCTCTTAGAATGATTCTGCGCCCGTGATAGTAGACCGCATAGAATCCAAGAACGTAGGGTATGCGTATCAGCCAACTCTGTTTTTCAGACTATCCCAAAACCAATCTGATATGGGCGACTTTATTTGTGAGCAAGAGGGCGTCATTAGCCTGATATGGGCAAAAGCAGCTCCCATTCAACAATCATACACAGGTGTAACTACAGAAAGTTACAATAATCTGAAATAGAGGGGAAAAAATCATCCACCATGTTCATATGATGACTGGTTAGCGATTTTGGAAGTTGAGCTTCTTGAGCGCATAAGCGAAGACAGTAAAAAAGAGGATGATGAATCCGATGTTGACAAGCACAACATAGCCGAGCCATGAGTGCTGGTAACCAAACACCTCCTCCAGATACACCTGCACCGTTGGGTCCGGGGTCTCCCCTGGCACCTTCAGGGTCGTCGTCACATCTCCCAGCTGCGATCAAAAGGAGTGAGGAGGGGGAGAGGCAGAAGGATGGAAGGAAGGGGGTTAATGAGGGTGCCTTGGGGCTGATAGAAGGAACAGGCATGCGGCAGCTAATCAATGGAGGATCATAGCTGGTGCTATGGACGGGCGACCCAACCCAAGGAAGGTTGTGGGTGTGGACAGTGGAAGAGGGGGTTGTAGGTGTGCGGAAGAGAAACACAGAGATTGCCCATGCAGGGCAGGGAAAATGCGTGTGGTGAGCAGTAGCAGCAGCATAAGCAGCACGACACCAGAAAACAGAAACAAGAATGAGCAGCAAGAGAATGTATGTAGCATGAGGGCATTGAGATGCGACAAGAGCATGTGTGCAGCATGTGGACGGGGGTTATTACCTGTGAGGCGTTGAGGCCATAGAGGGTCCAGGAGACGGGGTTAATCCAGTAGAACCAGCGCCACCACACCGGAATTTTCTGCAGCACAGGCAAGCAGGAGCAGAGGCAATGACTGATTGAGTGAACTTGGCTCTTCAAAAGGACCGGGCAGGGCAGCAACAGTACGTGTATCAGTCGAAATATGGCAGGCAAGACACAGCAGGAACAGGGCAGCAACAGTACTGAAAGTGTAGCAACCAAAATATTGCCGGCAAGACACAGCAGGAAAAGATAGCAGGCAACGTCAAAACACAGAGGACGTCAAAACACAGAGGACGTCAAAACACAGAGGACGTCAAAACACAGAGGACGTCAAAACACAGCGGACGTCAAAACACAGAGGACGTCAAAACACAGAGGACGTCAAAACACAGAGGACGTCAAAGTACAGAGGACGTCAAAACACAGAGGACGTCAAAACACAGAGGACGTCAAAACACAGAGGACGTCAAAGCACAGAGGACGTCAAAGCACAGAGGACGTCAAAGCACAGAGGACGTCAAAGCACAGAGGACGTCAAAGCACAGAGGGCGTCAAAGCACAGAGGACGTCAAAGCACAGAGGACGTCAAAGCACAGAGGACGTCAAAGCACAGAGGACGTCAAAGCACAGAGGACGTCAAAGCACAGAGGACGTCAAAGCACAGAGGACGTCAAAGCACAGAGGACGTCAAAGCACAGAGGACGTCAAAGCACAGAGGACGTCAAAGCACAGAGGACGTCAAAGCACAGAGGACGTCAAAGCACAGAGGACGTCAAAGCACAGAGGACGTCAAAACAAAGAGGACGTCAAAGCACAGAGGACGTCAAAACACAGAGGACGTCAAAACACAGAGGACGTCAAAACACAGAGGACGTCAAAACACAGAGGACGTCAAAACACAGACGACGTCAAAACACAGAGTGTGAAAAGTTTAGAAGAAAGAAGAGGATTGAACTAGCAAGAATGGGGATACAAATAGCAAACCCTAGAAGGGTTGTACTCGCTATGGAGCACCCCACTACAGGCTAGAGCATAATATTCTGACACACCACCATAGCCAAAGTGGGGTGTAATCAGCAGAGCAAGCAAAGCAGTACAAGCTCAGGGTGGATCACAATGTCACCACACATTCTGAGCACAAGTTCAAGAAGCAATAGTTTAAAGTTAACAATTATGAGCAAAGCTAGTGGTAGTCACAACGGGCAAGTGAGGAGGAGGAGAGAGAGTGAGGGGAGAGAAGATAGGAGGCGACGGCTGAAGCTGCAGACACACGGGCAACAGGAGGCACACTGGCATAGCGGCTACCGGATCAACGCTCCCGAATACTGGAGTAACTGGCCCCGCGGCTAAAGTAGCGGCAGACGAGCAACGGACCCACGGGCGGCTGGCACAGCTGGCTACGACTGGGCTACCGGACGAAGTCCCCAGAATACAGGTGCTGCTGGCGACTCGACGGCAACCTCCATTCAGCTTCCCCAAACTATCCCACTCGCCCTGGCACATACCCGCTGCTACACCGCTAGGGTCACTCACACCCCACCCCCTAGCATGACTCCTTCCACTCCCACACACCCACCCCCCTCAGCGGCAGCTACAGCAGTGGGAGACAGAGGAGGAGGAGGAGCAGGGGAGACCACACACCCGCCACCCCCTACTCGCCACCCCCAAACCCTAACACAGGGCAGGGCGGGATGGCGGGTAGGGAGGTTACGGGGGGAGAGGGGGGGGGGGGGGGGGGGGGGGGGGGACCGATGCGCGGCCTCCCAGGGCGCCACAGCAGGCGGCAGAAGGGGCGGCGCGCGCCCCCCTCCCCCAGATCGCGGCCCCCGAGGGAGCCGCGACGGGCGACGGGAAATGGCAGGGGCGGGGCCGGGGCCGTGCAAGGGCGGCGACGGGGTAGCTGCGCGCGGCGACGGCGCGGCCGATGCGGGCGGGGACGGTGTCGCTGCGGGCGGCGACGGGGCCGCTGCGCGCGGCGACGGGGCCGCTGCGGGCGGCATCGGGCCCGCTGCGGGCGGCGACGGGGCCGATGCGGGCGGCGACGGGGCCGACGCGCGGGTCCCCGTCGCCCGTCGCAGCGCCTCCCGAGGGCGACGCGCCGAGTGACGGGGCAGAAGCCCGCCGCGCGCCTCGGGGCGCACAGCGGGCAGAGAACCGCCGCGCGCCTCGGGGCGCACGGCGGGCAGAAAACTGCCGCGCGCCTAGGGGCGCACGGCGGGAAGAAAAAACTGCCGCACGCCACGGGGCGTGCGGCACAGAGAGTAGCAGTGGTAGTTGCAGCGGAAGCAACGAGGTGGTGAGCCCACCCACAGGATCGATCCAAGAGGATCGACCTGCTCTGATAGCATGTGAAAAGTTTAGAAGAAAGAAGAGGATTGAACTAGCAAGAATGGGGATACAAATAGCAAACCCTAAAAGGGTTGTACTCGCTATGGAGCACCCCACTACAGGCTAGAGCATAATATTCTGACACAGAGGACGTCAAAACACAGAGGACGTCAAAACAAAGAGGACGTCAAAACAGCTGCAGAGGCAGCGTAAAAAAAAAATCAGTTAGGGCAGGGCGGAACGTTCGGTGGGGCCCTAGGAACGATTCTGCTCTAATACCATGTCACAAGGTAGGAAACAAGAATGACTAGAAACAGGACAGTACAAGGTTTGTATAAGCAAAACCTAACAATACTGTACCCCATAAGGAGTGCCCCACTACATCTTACAATATAGTTCTGACAATTTTATAGCGCCAGGAATCAGAATTGCGCGCTAGCGATTTTTTTCCAACACACAGGGGCAAAGACACGTAAGTTTTCCCCTGTGCCAGCACATCTTGACTTGACGCTGTCAACGGGAGTTGGGTATTGGCCCCGTCCTCGCTTGGGCGGAGCCGACTTTGTGGTCGGGTGTGAGGGGAGCAGCCGACCTGCAGCAGTGGGCGAGCTGGTCGACGAGGAGGTCGACCTGCACGGGGGACCACTGCACGGGCGCCAACTTCAGGGTGGTGCCGACTTCGGGGAGGTCGACTTGGGAGTCGACCTGCGGAGGACGTCGAAGCCGACTTCGGTGGTCGGCTGGTCGACGG